AACACATTGCTGGTAGGTTAATTGGATCCTGTCTAAATTGTCCCTTGTATGTGTATGCATGACTATAAGTTAGGGACCTTAGATTGTACACTCCTTGAGGGTTAGGGCAGGTGCCAGGAGAGGAGCTGGAGGGAGGCCACACAGAGGGTGTACACAAGTTTGTCCACGTGTTGAGCGCATAATGCCCTATTGATGAGGTCATAAAGTGAGGTGAGAGGGTTTTTCACCAAGGATGGTGGCACGGTTGGTAATGAAGAAGAGAGATTTATCTTATACACATTGCAGTGTTGTTTTAAGAGACTTTTTCATGGAACTTTAATTATTGTTTATTATGTATATTATGTATTTTTTTATGAGATATTAGTCTGTTGTGCTACACTTTGTTATTCAAAATCTTGAAGCACCCCAGTGTAAAATGTAAAAAACTTAAATGTTACTTATCAGTGGGAAACCTGAGCCTGGGATGATGCAAACAACTGCCTTGATGAATTAACTTCACATCAAAAGTACCCCCATAACGTCAGTTCCCCCCATCACTGAGTGTTCTCATCAAATCAGAGTATCCCCCATGAGAAAGCCACTGCTAATCACAGAACCCATTCTCCCCCATCACACAGGCCAACCTTTTGGCTCCAACAGTGTGGTAGAGGGCAGATGTTGGAGCAGGGCTGGAGGAGCCAAACTTCCATCTTCTCTTTAATGGTGGGGGTGTCTCTGCATGCCACCTGCACCGGATCAGTGCCATGAATTGCCATTGTGCTGGCAGCCAACACCAGAGACAAATGACACCATGCGTGTTACCCTAAAGGGTTGTTATCCTAAGTTGTTATGCTGCACCTCAGGGGATCCCAAATGGCACCCCAGTTGAGACACACGGCTCTACAGTAGCAATACATTTGTGAATTCTTAAGGATTTTCTTGATTTCTACTAAAACACAGTAATATTTGCACTTTCTATAAGTTATATGTTCCTTTAGTTTTAAAATGGAAGGACAAATTTAAGTTACAACAATGTTAGTAAAAGCCTGGCTCTGTTTTGCTGTGTTCCTTAGGACTCAGGGCCCATTTATGTCATATACAGTCAGGTCCATAAATATTGGGACATCGACACAATTCTAACATTTTTGGCTCTATACACCACCACAATGGATTTGAAATTAAACGAACAAGATGTAATTTAACTGCAGACTGTCAGCTTTAATTTGAGGGTATTTACATCCAAATCAGATGAACGGTGTAGGAATTACAACAGTTTGCATATGTGCCTCCCACTTTTTAAGGGACCAAAAGTAATGGGACAATTGGCTTCTTAGCTGTTCCATGGCCAGGTGTGTGTTATTCCCTCATTATCCCAATTACAATAAGCAGATAAAAGGTCCAGAGTTCATTTCAAGTGTGCTATTTGCATTTGGAATCTGTTGCTGTCAACTCTCAAGATGAGATCCAAAGTGCTGTCACCATCAGTGAAGCAAGCCATCATTAGGCTGAAAAACAAAACAAACCCATCAGAGAGATAGCAAAAACATTAGGCGTGGCCAAAACAACTGTTTGGAACATTCTTAAAAAGAAGGAACGCACCAGTGAGCTCAGCAACACCAAAAGACCCGGAAGACCACGGAAAACAACTGTGGTGGATGACCAAAGAATTCTTTCCCTGATGAAGAAAACACCCTTCACAACAGTTGGCTAGATCAGGAACACTCTCCAGGAGGTAGGTGTATGTGTGTCAAAGTCAACAATCAAGAGAAGACTTCACCAGAGTGAATACAGAGGGTTCACCACAAGATGTAAACCATTGGTGAGCCTCAAAAACAGGAAGGCCAGATTAGAGTTTGCCAAATGACATCTAAAAAAGCCTTCACAGTTCTGGAACAACATCCTATGGACAGATGAGACCAAGATCAACTTGTACCAGAGTGATGGGAAGAGAAGAGTATGGAAAAGGAAAGGAACTGCTCATGATCCTAAGCATACCACCTCATCAGTGAAGCATGGTGGTGGTAGTGTCATGGCATGGGCATGTATGGCTGCCAATGGAACTGGTTCTCTTGTATTTATTGATGATGTGACTGCTGACAAAAGCAGCAGGATGAATTCTGAAGTGTTTCGGGCAATATTATCTGCTCATATTCAGCCAAATGCTTTAGAACTCATTGGACACCGCTTCACAGTGCAGATGGACAATGACCCAAAGCATACTGGAAAAGCAACCAAAGAGTTTTTTAAGGGAAAGAAGTGGAATGTTATGCAATGGCCAAGTCAATCACCTGACCTGAATCCGATTGAGCATGCATTTCACTTGCTGAAGACAAAACTGAAGGGAAAATGCCCCAAGAACAAGCAGGAACTGAAGACAGTTGCAGTAGAGGCCTGGCAGAGCATCACCAGGGATGAAACCCAGCGTCTGGTGATGTCTATGCGTTCCAGACTTCAGGCTGTAATTGACTGCAAAGGATTTGCAACCAAGTATTAAAAAGTGAAAGTTTGATTTATGATTATTATTCTGTCCTATTACTTTTGGTCCCTTAAGAAGTGGGAGGCACATATGCAAAGTGTTGTAATTCCAACACTGTTCACCTGATTTGGATGTAAATACCCTCAAATTAAAGCTGACAGTCTGCAGTTAAAGCACATCTTGTTCGTTTCATTTCAAATCCATTGTGGTGGTGTATAGAGCCAAAAATGTTAGAATTGTGTCGATGTCCCAATATTTATGGACCTGACTGTATTGTAGTGCGTGAAGTCCTCATTCACACCGGCGCGACTTGTCATACAACTTGACAAATCAAAGTCACATGACAAGTCGTGCCCTATTGCCAGCTATGGAATCGTTCAAATTGGTGCAGCTTCGATTTGTACCAACTTTGAAAAAGGTCCCTGCACTGTTTTTTTGCGATTTCATGTGCGACTTGCATTGACATCTGTGTATGAAGTCGCACAGATGTCAGCAAGCTGCTCGTGAAGTTGAACTGATCAGATGCTTTGAAATCGTGCTGAAGTAGCACGATTTCAAAGCCGCATTCAGTGTGAACAGGTGTAATGTGTGTTGCATTAAGGTAGCCCATTCATAAAGAATGAGCCTGCCACCAAGACATAGCAGTGATGTAGAAACAGGAGCGGACTGACCATTTGGAAACTCGGGCACTGCCCGAGGGCCCGGGGTCAGTAGGGGGCCCATGAGATGCCCCTGGTACCTTTTTTCATAGGTTTGGTCAAGGACACAGGGGGCCCATGATCCCCTATTGCCCGGGGGCCCCATGAGTTGTCAGTCTACCCCTGTGTAGAAACCACGGTGCATGCCGGGGGATGCAGACCCTCAATACACCCAGAAATGTGGAACACTGAAGACACATGCATTCAAACTCACTGCCCACCAGACAGGGAAGTATTTCCAGTCAACTATTGCAGCCGCAATATATATATATATATCACTTCAGGAATCAGAAGATAACTTGGTTCACCTTTTAGCTCCTTTGTTTTAATCATGGGATGTAGAGTGACATCTAGTGGTTGAAGCTCCTTCTTACACTCCCCAGCTGCACTGGGCAAATATATGGAAGGTGAGGTTCGGTTTCCTTCTGATTCTAAAGCTGCACTAAATAATATCTTTATACTCCAAAAATAATCCATACACATCCACTACCTAATGGCCCTGTAATGTACTTCTCATGAAATGGTTTCCTACAGTCCCTTCCTGCCTCCTCGGTCCTCAGTGAGCTCCCAAACCTCTTCTTTTCTCTCTCGTTTTCGTTTGTTTGGGTGAGCAATGCATGTTAGTTGTGGTCATGTGCACTTCTCTATGTACACTACAATTCCTATAGTCCATAGTCCCCAGTCCATCTTGGGAGCAAGCAAGAGTGGGTGTCTATGTTTCCAAGTACAGTTGAGTTGTGAACAATAGAAGTACAGTGGCTAAATGGTTAGCACTTCCTCCTGGCAGTACTAGGGTCATTGGTTTGAATCCCAACCACAGCACCACCTGCCTGGAGTTTGCATGTTCTCCCTGTGCCTGCGTGGGCTTCCTCCAAGTACTCCAGGTTCCTCCCACACTCCAATGACATGCTGGTAGGTTAATTGGATCCCGTCTAAATTGGCCCTAGTATGTGTATGTATGAATGTGAGTTAGGGACCTTAGATTGTACGCCCCTTGAGGGTTAGGGACTGATATGAATATATATTGCACATACATATATGGGGGGGGTTGGAGATCAGGAAGGAATTTCTTTTCCTCTGCAGGAACAAATTGGATCATGCTTTGCTGGGTTTTTTTTTGCCTTCCTTTTTTTTTTTAATGGTTGAACTGGATGGACTTTTGTGTTTTTTCAGCCAGACTAACTATGTAACTATATATTGTATATATGTAAAAGCACTGTGTAAATTGACGGCGCTATATAAGTACCTGTAATAAATACCATTTTGAATTAAAGTTATTTTAAACCTTTTGTTTTTAATAACATGTTATACTTACCTGCTCTGTGTAATGGATTTGCACAGGGCAGCCCCGATCTCCCTCTTCTGGGGTCCCCCACGGCACTCCTGGCTCCTCCCCCCTTCTGAGTACCCCCGCTCCCCCAGCAAGCCATCTGCAAGGGGGGGGGGGTACTTGTGCGGGCTTGCTCTCGAGCCCCACTGACTGCTTCTATTGACACAGACAGTAGGGCTTCGCCCTGCCCCCCACACCCTTGTCATAGGATTTGATTGATCAATCTGCCCTGTGAGGAGAGAGCAGGGATGCTGCTTTTTTGCACGATTGGCTTGAAAATTGGAATCAGGCAAGTATTAAGGGGGGGGGGGGGGTGGTATAACCCTGGATACACAAGGTTTTTTTTTTTAACCTTGATGCAGAGATTGCATTAACCTCAAGGATTTAGAACCACTGTAAAGTGTTACTAAACCCCGGACCCTGCATTCACTATATCTGGTCTCCCACAGTACACACACAACATGGAAGTGCAATTATTATAGTAAATATAAACTGCTAAATACCTTTTCTCATCAGCAGTTAGAGCAGTCTTGTGACTTCTATCAGTGTCCAGCCGAGCACTGGTTAATCTTGTAGAAGGAGTTTTCATTCTGCTGTAGGAGGTAGCAGGATCCCTGACCTCTGTCTGGACAGTGCTGATTGGCCCTGGGCTGATCACATGCACTCTCCCAGGGGCGGACTGACCATTTGGAGGCCCGGGGTCAGTAGGGGGCCCTTTGAGATGCCCCTGGTACCTTTTTCATAGGCTTTTTTGAGTTTGGGCAAGGACACAGGGGCCCCATGAGTTGTCAGTCTGCCCCTACACTCTCCCAAGAAAAAGAAAAGCCTCTCTAGCAATACACACAAAACTGAGCATGTGCAGAGTGACTCCACACGATATGTCTTTTCAGGAGATAAGAGGGGGACACTGGAAGAAGGGGAGGATCAAACAGCATTTTTACACAATGCAGAAGATTTACCCCTTAGGTACCACAGTGAGTATAACAAGCATGCTTTACTGCATCTAAAGACTGATTTTACTGATGTGGGTTTAGTAACACTTTAAGAATACATACTTTAATAACATGTTTATTTTTAAACCTGAGTTTAGTGTGCCTTTAAAAGCTGTATTTGCCATAATTGTAGACGTGGATAAGGGTTCAGGGTTAGCCAGGACAACATTGAGGCTCAAAATTTACAACTTGCTATAATTTGTTTCTTATCCCTTATTTTATCTTTTCCTTCTGTAGCCTGTGGACATTCAGTGCAGGTGCAAGGGATGGTCAGAGGAGTTACAAGATTCTTTACAGCTCATAAAAACATTTCTCCTTTCTCCCGATTGGTGTTCTGTACAGCTGATGGGCACCTTGTCTATTGTAATGTATCATTGCCTGTATTTAGTGACAAGGCCTAATAAAGCCTGCTGACATTTTGGGAAGAGCTGCAGCCAGTACTGTCATTTGAAAAGAGCAAAGTGGAAACCACCAAACTGAGGCGTTGTTTAAATGCAAACTGCAGCTTGATGGAAAGACACAGTATATATAATATTTAAAAAAAAAAAAAAGGCCAATCACTTGGCATGGTGGGTCTGCTTCCTATTCTGAGCTTTTCCTGGCTGTGGGCAATACTGGATGATGCAGAGAACACCACTGATGTCAGCACTGCTCTCTGAATCAGTGTACTGTGAAAAAAAAAGAGCACCGTGGTGGCTCTTTACCAGGAGCTGGGCCTAGGACAAATCTCTGGTCTTCCAGGTTGAGTGATGCTGTACTTCTTTCAGTTCAAAAAACTGTTGACGTTAAAAAAAAAAAAAAAAAAAAAATGTTTCAATAAAAAAAAAGGGGAGCGCAAGGGGCAGCTCAGTATTTGTATTTTTTTAATGCTTGCTGGGGGGTCTTCTTGCCCTCGAGGAGGATTTATCCCCTTCCTGACCAGACCATTGCAATACGGCGCTGCATTACTTTAATGACAATTGCGCGGTCATGCAACACTGTACATAAATGAAATGTCTGTCCTTTGTTTCCCCACAAATGGAGCTGTCTTTCGGTGGTATTTGATCACCTGTGCAGTTTTAATTTTTTGTGGAATAAAAAAGACCGGCAATTTTGAAGAAGAAAAAAAAAAACCCAATATATTTGCCTTTTTGCTATAAAACATATACAGTAAAAAAAAATAAAAAAAAAAATTTCTTCATAAATTTAGGCCAAAATGTATTCTACTACATGTCTTTGCTAAAAAAAAAAAATTCCAATACGTGTGAATTAATTGGTTTAGGTGAAAGTTATAGCGTCTACAAAAATGGTGGTTTATATACTGGAATTTTTTTATTTTTATTTTTTTTTACTGGTAATGGCGGTGATCAGTGACTTCCTACAGCGGGCATTCTGACACTGGGGGGGAACTGTCACGGACATCCCCAGTGACACTAATACAGTGATCAGTACTAATAAAAAGCACTGACACTGTACTAATGGCACTACGCAGGAAGGGGTTAACATTTGGGGCGATCAAAAGGTGAACTGCATGCTGTGTGCTGTTTTACATCATGTACTGTGTGTGTTAACTATGTAGACAGCCTGATCATGCTGACAGGGGAGAGATCTGTGTTGTTTACATACAGACCTCTCCCCTGTCAACTCAGCCGAGGATCACAGAGTCCCAGCCGAGAATCGGCGGCCAGGACCTGGTGATAGACATACCAAGGAGCCAATAGTGGCGCGTGTAGGCAGCACGCATGCACCCCCTACCTGGAATATATATACATATACACACACAAACAAATATATATATATATATATATATATACATATACACACACACACACACACACACATACACACACGGGCAGACTGACCATTTGGAAACTCGGGCACTGCCCAAGGGCCCGGGGTCAGTAGGGGGCCCCATGAGATGCCCCTGGTACTTTTTTCATAGGCTTTTTTGAGTTTGGGCAAGGACACAGGGGCCCCATGATCCCCTATTGCCCGGGGGCCCCATGAGTTGTCAGTCCGCCCCTGTGTGTGCGTTTATATATATATTTATTTATATACATGATTTTGCGCATCCCTGTCACCCTGTGGCTAAGTACTTCTATTATAGGGTGGTCGGAAAGTGGGTAAAAATTAGCCTGCACTTAAAGTGCATCATCCCTGGCGCTTGTACCACTAGGCATGGGGTGGGCCAAGCAGCTTGAGACCCGGGTCACCAGTGGTCTGGCCCTCTAGCATGATGCTAGCCCAGGCTATATTAACCCTTGCTGCAAATATTGTACTAATAGACACATGATTACGGTTTTACCAGGCAGAGGTCGCTACAGCAATAATATCGGAAGCCTTCATTTTGATTCGGTACATTTGTAAGAAAACAGTTATGTAAAACCTTTCCCATTCTGGGACAGGCACACTTTTGCTAGTGCAAATCAAGGGAAAGTCACATACTCCTCCATACCCTAAGTAATGATCTTTTAACTTCATTTTGGCAGGTGACCACGAAAGCAGGCGAGCCAAGTAGGCTTTTAAAGGGTATCAAAACCCAAAAAATGTAATATATTGCAGCTTACCAGTTCTAGATGTGGTGGCTGCATTAGTCTTCTTTTTCTTTTATTTTCGACTGGTGATCCGGACAGTAGCACAGCTCTCTGAAGGTGGCCACACACATTCCTCCACTGTTATCTTTGACCGGAGCAGTGTAGCCACCCTTGGAAGCAAGAATGTCAACTTGTGAGGAGGTAATTGTTAAGGACTTCTTTGCTGCTCTCTCTCCTTAAAGGGGGGTTTTTTCCCCCCCCGGGGGGGTTTTAAATTTGGGGGGGGGCCCCGGGGGGGGAAAAAAAAGGTTAAATTTTTTGGGAAAGGGGGGGGTTTTTTTTTTTTAAAACTTTTTTTTTTTTTTTTTTTTAAAATTTTTTTAAAAAAAAAATTTAAAAAAAGGGCCCAAAGGGGGGGGGTTTAATTTGGGGCCCCAAATTTTAAAGGGGGAACCCTTTTCCCCCTTTTTTAAAAAAAAAAAGACATTTTTTAAAAAAAAAATTTTAAAAAAAAAATTTTTTTCCCCTTTTTAAAATTTTTTTTTGGAGGTTCCCCTTTTTTAAAAAAAGGGGAAACAAACCCCCGGGGGGGAAAAAAAAGGGGAAAAATTTTCCCCCTTTTTTTTTTTTTTCCCCCCCTTTAAAATTGGGGTTTTTTTAAAAATTTAAAAACCCCCTTTTCCCCTTTTTTTTAAAAAAAAAAAAAATTTTTTAAAAAAAAAAAAAATTTTTTTAAAAAATTTTTAAAAAAATAAAAAAATTTTATATATAATTTTTTTTCCCCCCCCGGTTTTTTAAAAATGGGTTTTTTGGGGTTTGGGGGGTTGGGGTTTTTCCCCCGGGGGGGGCCCCCCCAAAAAACCCCCAAAAAAAAGGGGGAAAAGGGGGGAAAAAAAAAGGGGGGGGTTTTTTGGGGGTTAAAATGGGAAAAAAAAGGGGGAAAGGGGAAAAAAAATTTTAAAACCCCTTTTTTTTTTTTTTTAAAAAAAAGGGGGGGGGGGTTTTTTTTAATTTAAAAAAAAAAAAAAAAAAAATATATTTAAAAAAAAAACCCCCAAAAAAAAAAAAAAATTTAAAAAAAAAAAAAAAAAAAAAAAAAAAAAAAAAAAAAAAAAAAAAAAAAAAAAAATAAAACCCCAAAAAAAAAAAAACCCCGGGAAACCCCCAAAAAAAAAAAAAATTTTTAAAAAAAAATAAAAAAAAAAAAAAAAAATATTCACCCCTTATTTAACATATATTAATCATCAATTATAAAATAACTATATTTTTAATTAAAATACTTATTTATATAAAAATTTGGAAAGGTGGGATATCAATCTAATTATTAAATAGTCCATTAAAAAAATAAAATATTCTTTGTCTACACCTTACTATTCCATTCATCTTAAAATTTTTTCCCCTTACCCTTATTCTTTTTTATTTTTGACATGGTTTCTAATCTTTTTATTTCTTTTAAAAATTAAGAACATTACACTTATGAAATAGTTGATATTTTTACTAAATAATATTTTATAATCTGGTATGCAAATAATAACACCTATTTATCTACCCCTCAATTATAATAATTTTAAACATTAAAAGTATTTTTTCTAATGTTAAATTTATATAATTATATTAAATATTTTAATTTTTTAAGAATTTATATAATTTAAAATAAATATATATATAAAAAAATAATTTTGAATGATATAAAAATTTAAATATAATAAAATAAATATAAAAACGAATAAAATAAATAATATATATGATGTAAATAAATGTGTAAAAATAAATATTATAAAATATAAATAAAAATTGAGTAAAATAACATGTAAAAAATAAAATAAAAATAAAAATATAAAAAAAAATAAATAATAAAAAAAATTTAAATATTAAAAATGATTTAAAAATAAATTATATAAAAAATAATTAAGATAAATATGAAATAAGTAAAAAATAAAATTTATATAATTATATTTTATACTTAAATCTTTAAAATTAAAATAAATAAATATTTTTAAAGTATTATAATTAATAAATATCATTAATGGAAATATATTTTGTATAATAATTATGTTTATTTTATTTAAATTTAAAAAATTAGTTAAAGATATAAAATGATTAAATAAAAAATAAAAAATTTGATAAAAATAAAAATAAAAGTAAATAACATTAAATAAAACTTATATAAAAAAATTATTAATAAGTATATTAAAAAAAAAAAAAAATTGTTTAAAAATAAATATAATAAAATTTTAAAAAAGAAGATAAAAAATTAATTATTAGTTACTAAAGTAAAAATAGTATTAAAATATAAATAGTATATAAGGAAATTTAGTTATTATTAATATAACATAAAAAATATTTATTCATAAATATGTTAATATTGTATATTTAAGAAAAAATATTAAAATGATTATGTGTAAATATATATAATTTAATGAATAAAAAATTATATTAATAAATTAATATTAAGTTAAAAAATTTAAAGTAAAAATGGATAGATTTATTGAATTATTATAAAAAAAAAAAATAATATATTTAATTAAAAAAAAAAAAATAAAAAAATATGATTAGTTAATAACAAATTGATATAAAATTAAAAATATTTCTAATATTAATAAAAAATAAAATAATTTTTAATTTATTTCAAAATAAAATAAAAAGAATTAATAATAAAAAAATAATTTAAAAAATTATAAAATTTAAGTAATATTAATTAGAATTAAAAAATAATATTTAAAATTTTAATAATAATAAATTTAAAAAAAAAATATTTTTAAAAAAAAATAAAATAATATAATAAATTTAATATAATAAAATATAAGGATTAATTAAAGAAAAAATAGAAAATAAAAATTAAGGAATAAATCGGCTAACTCCTAAATCGAAAATAAATTTTGTTATTAAAAATAATTTTTTAAATAATTTAAATAATATTAAATTTATATTCTAAAAAAAAATAAAAACATTAAATAAAATGGTTATGTTTATAAAAAATAAATATATAATTTTTGTAATATTTTATAAAATATAAATATTTACGCGCCGGATCATTCTATTTTTCTCAGGACACTCCTATCCCCTATATTAATAGCCATTTTTATTTATAACTTTGAAATTGTCGTTATATAATGTATTGTCAAATACTAGATATTTTTACAATATTAATCACTTTGTATATATAATATCTATGATTCCCTCAAGGCACTAGTGCAGAGTCCTACACTGCATACTCGATAACAACATAAAACTCAGTCAAGATCTCTAACGATAATCTAGTACATAACTCAAGATACGCCGCATTATAATACGGCGTTCTATATAGCTAATTAGTTACATAATTTAAATCCCCAAATCGAAATATTGTCAGCTAACCAAATAATCATAAGACACCTACAAAAAGGGATACAGACATTACTTGGTCACATAGTTCGTGTCGCTTCCCCCGTCCGGTAGCACGAAACGAGGAGCCTGTAGTAATTGAAAGAAGGAAGTGGAAGCCCGCCCGAACACTGACGCATTAAAAACATAACTAGGATGGTGGGAATAACTAAGCTCAATGTATCAAAGAACATGAAAACTCCAGGCAGGTGGTGCCATGGTTGGGATTCGAACCAACCCTAATACTGCCAACCATTTAGCCACTGTGCTGCCCATAGGATTTCTAAACTTCTGAATATTCCAGTGAGCACTGTTGAAGCCATAATCCAAAAGTGGAAAGAACATAATTTCACCATAAACCGGCCATGACCAGGTACTCCTTGCAAGATTTCTGACCGAGAAGTGAATAGAATTATCAGAAGAGTTGTCCAAGAGACAAGGACCGCATGTCGAGAGTTTCAGAAAGACCTGGAATTAGCAGGTACAATGGTTTAAACGAAAACAGTAAGTAATGCACTCAATCGCCATGGCCTGTATGCACGCTCACCACACAAGACTCCATTGTTGAAGAAAAAGCATGTTGAAGCTCGTTTAAATTTTGCTGCTCAACATTTAGACAAGCCTGTGAAATACTGGGAGAATATAGTCTGGTCAGATGAGACCAAAATGGAACTCTTTAGATGCCATAATACACACCATGTCTGGAGGTCAAATGGCACTGCACATCATCCCAGAAACACCATACCAACAGTGAAGTTTGGAGGTGAGAGCATCATGGTGTGGGGCTGTTTTTCAGCATACGGTACTGGCAAACTGCACATAATTGATGGAAAGGATGAATGGAACAATGTACCAAGACATTCCTGATAAAAATCTGCTGCCATCTACCAGGATGATGAAGATGAAATAAGGGTGGACATTTCAGCAAGACAATGATCCCAAACACAAAGCCAAGGAAACTCTCAATTGGTTCAAAGAAAGAAAATAAAATCGCTAGAATAGCCCAGCCAATCACCTGACTTGAATCCAATGAAAAATCTATGGAAAGAACTAAAAGATCAGAGTTCATAGAAGAGGCCCACAGAACCTTCAAGATTTGAAAACTGTTTG